GGGGATTATATTAACTTCAATCGTATATATAACATTGCTCAAAATCAGGTTCTAAATAATGTAAAATAGGCTTTGGGTCTAAATAATTTTAATTATATTGTCTTGTTTGCTTTGTTTAAATCATAAATTTTGTTGATTAAACTAATTAAATAAGATCTTATGAGTTTTTTTTTTCTTTTCTGGATATTTCAGTTTTTCTTTTCAATAATTCTAATATTTCTTTAATAAGAATGGATATATATTATTCCTAAGAATCTATGTTGTTAGTTTGAGTGATTCCCTTGCATCAGGAATTAAAATTAAATTTAAGCGTGTGTTTAGTTGCATAATTTAATTAATTACTTATTTGATCATTTTTTAAAATAAAATTCAATACTATAAATTTAATCATAAAAATTAGATTTAGTTACACTTAGTTTTTTTAGCTTATATTTTATATGATTTTAGTCTCTCAATTTTCTTGAGCTGATTAATCCCTCTATTTTTAAAATTGTACAAATTTAACCTTTATGGCTTTATCTATGTTCTTCTACTTAAAATTTTTAATTTTCTTTTCATCTAAATTTTTGAAGATTTATAATGAAACTAGAAGATAAAAGCTCAAAAGTAAAATACTTAATCAACAACCGATAATATTTAAAGGATTTTACAAAGTATGAAAATCATGTTTGAGAAGAACAAAACTAAATGATTTTGAATAATAAATAATTTAACACATAAACTTGCAAATTGTATTTTAATAATCTAACAAATCTATTTGATGAACAAAAATTTTTAAAAAGTGGAACTTTTGAAAGATAATTTATGAAAAGTTACATTAAATAATACTTAATTTATTAAAATATCAATATTTTTATTTCTATTCGTAATATTTTAAATAATTTATATTCACACAAAATAATTTTAACTCTTCCATTTTAACCATTAGCATATTTCAACTAATTTTACTAAAATAACTCTAATTCAACCCATTACACTCACAAACCTTCAACTAACTTATCAACTATAAACTATAAAATTTCAATTCATTCTATTAATCAACACCTAAAAAATTTATAAAAACAAGAAATTATTTTCATAAATTATTTACAAACTATTCCATATATAAATTGGTCAATCAGCGATAAATATTTCGCATTATGGTTTTTTTTAAAAATAGAATAATAGAAAAACACAAATATCCTAAACAAAATAAAATTAAGGACAACAATAAGAATAATAGAATTGTAAAAATACGATTACACATGATCAAATAATTGTGTGACATTCCATTGTCAAGAGTGAAGAAACATCAGTGACGTGTTCAATGGCATGTGTGGGTGTTACAGAGAGTGTGGAACGGTGTGGTCCACCCACACTCGCTGAGCCATGCAAACCGTATAGGGATGTCTGCGCGTGGAACTCACGCTCTCCCATGAAACTTTCACTTCGAAGAAACACAGACCAGCCAGCATTGTTATGCAATGCAACGTACCATCCACAAAATCCAAATCAAATTATTAATATAAATATGACAAAAACAAATGGCAAACAACTAATAAAAAACACAATTCTTTAAAAAAAAAAAAAAAACTATTCATAAGCTAACGAGTTGGGTATGTGTGTTTTAATAAAGAAAAAATTTTGAAAACAAAAATTTCATTTAGTCAAAACATACACATGACAAGCTAAGCTCCATAACATCTATATATAATCATATAGTGATATTTATTTAGTAATTACACTAAAATATACAATTTTAATCTCCCTTAATTTATATAATTATATATATAAATTAGAAAAATATATAATGAAAAAAACGCTGGATGTTATATTATTATATAAAATTTAAAATTGTGTAAAATAAAAATATATTCTTTAATGTGTGTCACAATGAAAAAATAATAAATAGTAATTTTTATATACACAAATTTTTATCATATATCCTTAAGCATATATTAAAAAGTTAAATATAAAAATATTAAATTTAAATTTAATCAAATTTCTAATACTTGCCGATGTTGAAGTGGAATAGTTTGTCATCCCTCTCAATTTGTTTATCATCCAAAAAAAATACAATAATTCATAAACCAATCATGCACACTCTAATAAACGAATAATAATAATAATAATAATAATGAGAAACACAATTTTTTTCTCTGATACCTTTCGCTATCTTCCTCATGCGTGGTGGGGTCACAAACGGGTTAACATGGGCCCACCGAAACGTGAAGAACGATTTGGGTTTTGGACTCATATGGACGGTGCAGATTTTCGCTGCAGATCACAGTAACCGTTCGATCATCGACTAATTACAGCTCAGGCGTGGTTGGCACCAGGTGATGAGGTGGTGCTTCGCCTAACGTGAAACCAGTCACGTTGTATGGTCTTGCCACGTCATCCGAACCCAAAAATGAACATAATTTTTATGTCATTATTAAATACGAAAATTATTGTACCCCACAACAAAAAATATGAAAATGATAATAAATGTATGTAAATGAGAGACTTTTATAGATCACAAGGATTTCATGCCTCTTGATTTTTAATGTGTTTATAATTTCTCATTATAAATATTTATAAAATATTTTTTGAACTGTTAAAGTTGTTTCCAATTGAAAATCAACTATAAAAATAGTCATCAGATGTTATATAATGAAATGTAAAAAACTTTTACATCTACTAGAAAAAAAATTATCATTTACTAAAAAATACTAAATACTGGAATAAATTTTATTAATAGAGTTTTTTTTTAAAATTATTTATTGGTATAAGTTTTAAAAGTTTATACTAAAAATAATATATTATGTTAAAGTTTTATATATTAATAGTATATATATCAACAAAAATACTTATTTATACAATATATTATACTGTTAGTATAAATTCACTATGTCTGTATTAATATTTTAACTTTTGATCAAATAAATTTATGATGACTTTGATATTAAATTATTAATAAATAATTTTTTTTTATAATGAATCTATTTAAAACGGTAACGATGTTTATGTATTTTTTTTTATTTTTTTTTAGATAAACCTGACTTTAGAGGATAAATATTTTAGGTGTCTTCCTTTGATATATACATAAATATATTATTTATCTATTTATACTATATATTAAATATTATATATTTTATTGATATATATTTTTTACATGATTTCACATTTATAATTTTTTCAAATAAATTGAGTTTACTAAAAATCTAAGATAATTTTTATGGTGCTTTACAAATTAAGAGGATATTTTATGCGTTTTCATGTGTGAAATAATTATCAACATTAATTTATATTAATAAACAATAGAGTTAGTAATTTATTTAAAAAAAATATAAATATCTTTCAATCTTTAACATGTAAAAAAAATTACAATCATCAACTTAAAGAGGTATACATTATCCTCTCAAGTTTACATGTTCAAATATAAAATTCAATTATTTGTATTTCTATAAAACAGTACGATGTCAAGGTACTTTTAGAATTATAATAATGAATAAATGAGTTTTTTTTTTAAATATATTTTCAAAACAGTTGAATATAGTAATTTCTAAAAGAATTAAAAATAAATTGAGATAAAATTACATTTACAAAAATTTGTGGACAAGCACCTATCTATCTATGTTGGCTTATATGAGTTATGACAATTGACACACCCCTGCCCCTGGCCCCTACACTCAGTCCTTGCATTTCCATGTTCTCAAACAGTGACTATTGTTGCCTTTCATTCCTTCCTCTTTCTTCATTTCATTTTCATACCCTCCTAAAATATAATAACATATATTTCTGAAATTATATCCAATTCAATCCATTGAGTTGTAACTTTTGTTTTTTCTTTAAAATTAACTGTGCAATTTGTTCCACATGCATAAAGGTTCGTTTTACTTCACTTGAAAGTAACAAATTTTGATTGTGTGCAGTTAACCTTTTGGGCACTCTCAAAACAAAATTTGTCCTCATTATAAATCCGAAAATATGTGTATAAATAGACCATATACTTTATATTAAAATGTTGCATCCTGTATTTTCTTGAATGGAATGGCTTAGTAAAAAATATTTTATCATATATTTTAAATATACACTACTCAACGAAAGCTACATGAAAAAGTCCACGTAGATTCAGTAAAAGAAGAAAATGAATATGATTTTATTGGTTGATATTATATATCTCAAAAATATGCTAAAAAGAAGACAATTTTTAATTGTTCAAAAAATAAAGAGACAACTTATAAACACGTACGTGAGTGGTTTGCCACGTTTTAGATTTTTAATTTACATTGAAATAAAAATTCATTTAAAGTCAGTTCTTTCACTGTGATTAATTATATATTATTGTTAGGGTGTCATATATTAAATTTAAATGTTATATACAGCAAAAAATAATTGATGAGATATATAAGGAGAAATCTCTCTCCACGATTCCTAAGAAGCCAAAATCATCTCATCAATCCATAATTTATTAGTCAATCATCTTTGTCTATTACCAATATCTCTCCAATATATAATAAAAGCAGACCAATGTGCCATTTCTTTTTTCCTTTGTTTCTATTATGCAAAGATACACTTTAGTAACCTCCTTGTCTTTCTCTTTATTCTCCTAGATTCTTTTAAACAATTTTTGCTGGCAGTGGCATTTCAAGAATTTATACAAATCATTTATATACAATCATATAAATGCAATGATTGATTAATTAATCTTTCGGGTGAATATTTGACTAATTAACTAAACACATTGATTATATGTTCTTGCAAGCATATAAACACGTACAGAAATTGTTAATTTATAATGATAATAATAATAATCCAAATTATCATTTTTCTCAGCAACCCAGTGATCATCATAAAACAAACAACTTGAATGTACTGTTTCTTAAATTTCGATTCCACCCACCTCATAATGCTTTGCCAATTGCCAGAGACAGTGAAAAGAACAACATGAGACACCAAAATAATAATAATGATATTTGTGACAGTTACATGCTTAGGGAGTGGTAGAAGAGTCATTGTGACAGTTCCTATTAATCTATCTATTCCAGTTCATTGAAAGCTAGTCCCACTTGAGCTTTCTTTCCACAAATCTCTCTTGCATATCTTCAATGAAAACCTGAGTGTCACCAACTCCACCTTTCAGTTTCATCTATCACACACACACCCCACAAGCACTTAAAAATCCACTTCTTGTAGTGCTCCTAATCCAAACCACCATAGATCATCATATTCTACTCTATTCTGTTTCTTACACTACCAATCTTTAGCATAATTCAGTCTTTGGATTTGTTTAGTGCTTTTAATAAATCAGGCCTCACTCAAAATCCAAAAGTTTAAGAGGTAACTATAGTGTTATTATATGTGTCATATATGATATCTTGAAGTTGTGTGGGAACATTTATGTTTGTTTTCAAGATGAATCATGTCTTTTTGTCATTCTGATTTGGATTCTGCGTGGCTTGTTTTATTGGGTTGTGTGTGTTTTTAATATAAATCAAGATCATCTTATCTGGGTTTGTGTTAATTTTGTGAAAAGCTTGTTGCGGGGGATGAAGATCTAATGTCATTCTTTGTTGTTCGTTTTTATATTTTTAATGAGAAACTGTAGTATTGGAATCGGAGGATTTGAGGGTATCCGTCCGAGAGAGAATAACAGTGGAATGTTAATCGAAGCCACTCTATTTATCCTTTTTGTTTCAGAACAATGATTCGTTGTGAGGGCTAAAGGAAGAGGTGGTGATGAATGTGAATCTAGATTTATGTCAATCATTGCAAAGAATTTAAGTATTGCTTAATAGAGAACTTGAAAATGGGAAATTTTTGCAGTGAATCACATTAAGATGAATCGGAGGACATGGTTTACTCGTGATCTTTTTACATTTGTCCTTAAATATGCTTTCATTTGCAGATAACTGCTTGCTTAAGATGTATCAAATTCAAGTTTAGGAAGGATCTAGAGTTTTGAATAAAAACTATGATCTGAGAGTATGTGTATTGAATTTGCAATGGCATAAACATACGGTTTATTCTCTAGAGTGTTAGTTATGAAGGTAGTAAGTGGAGAAGTCACATAAAAGAGGACGAGAGATTTTATAGTTCTTTATTGATTTCATCAACTATCCTAAGTCATATTGCATCTTCTGCCCAATGATTCCCAACATGCTATTTGTTGGTGTAAAAAATCAGGCATAAAAAGACTTGACATAGCATGCACTTCAGCGGTTAAGCTATCTATGTTACAGGAAGATTTTAGTTAGCATTTGCCTAGAAGTCTGAAAGGCTTAAAACTAAGAAAATTTTGTACATTGTGTTTGATTTTATATTCATGTCTGTTGTCTTCAGTTATTTGATTCAGAAGCCTTCTTTTAAAAACTAATCACCCTTAACCTCAAGCTATTTTATGTGATATTATAGCACAATGGAATCTGAAAATGGAGTTGCTATGGAGGATGAGAAACATGTTATTGGAGAAACAACTAAGGAGAACTTAAATATAGAAGTTGGCGACGGTTCTAAGGCAGAAAGCCAGACCAAGAATGAAGTATCTGAACCTATTGGAGAAGTTGAAAGGCTAAAATCTGCAGCAAGTAAAACCTCAAAACGTGCCAAGGTACCTTATACTATGTACAGAATTATTTGGCTTAAACTAAACTATTAATGATCATTTATATATGATGGGCCATATTAACTAATTCATATAAACATGGTTAGGAACCTGGTGGTAAAGGTGGTGTTGCTTCAAAGAACAATAAATCCGCCACCAAAGACAAAACCAATTTTAAGGCCACAACTTCATCTCAAACACACAGGCCAAACCTTTCCAAGAGCCTTTCTTTCCCAGCCAAATCAGCTGGTGGAGAGGGTATGAAGATAAGCATTAATGGGACTCTTGTGAAGACAGAAAATAAGCATGTTCAAGGAAATGGTGTTAGAGCTGAGGCTTCCATTCGTCGTTCAAGCAAGTCGACAAACTCTGAACTGAGCTCAAAGGAGGCAAAAACAAACCCTGGAAATTCTAACCAAAGGACTTCTTTGACATCAGTGACTAGCATTAAAAGCTCTGCAGTAAAGAGAGTTTTTTTTTTTTTCTTCTGAGTGTCTTTCTTTGTGTACTTTTTGATAGCTTCTTTTCATTGGTCTCCATGTTCATGACTTCTGTTTTATTCTATCTACCAGTTTGGAAGCTCTACCTCAGCGAATGCAGTTGCCAAGAGCCTCAAATCTGAGGCATCAACGTAAGTCCTAACCTTACAAGATGTACTATATCATTATACTTTGTCTCAGTTATAGTGTTCTTTATCAATATATTTCATTCTAAAGTGAATTCAACTGAAATGAAGACTATATATTTAGGAGATTGCTCCACCTTTTTCTGGTGCATGGATAATCACCTGATGATATTTTACCCTACTGCAGACCTGTTGACAAGATTTCCAACCCAGCAAAAACTGAAAAATCAAATAAAGAGGATGATGATGCTCATTCTACAACATCGTATGATTTGCGCACTATTACTCTCATACAATGTTGTCCTTACTTGTCCATCAGTCTTATTAGGAATTGAATATGCTGTGCTGACATTCATTGATGAATGAACTATCATAATTTCTTCTTTTTGTTTAGCTATAATATTCATGAAATTTTGTTTATTTATGCAATTAGAAGTCCTACTCCTCATAGGCGGAGCAGTGGCTCAGGATTTTCCTTCAGATTGGAAGAACGAGCAGAAAAAAGAAAAGAGGTAGTTGTTGAAACCTTTCAGCCTATAGATATTAGTATTGCATATGTCAGATGTTAATCCTGATTTCTCCTCTTCCCTCAGTTTTTCTCAAAGTTAGAAGAGAAATTTCAGGAAAAGGAAGCAGAGAAAACTAACCAGCAAGAGAAATCAAAGGTATAAATGTGAACAACTAAATTAATTCAAGATTCTGTTCCATGTGATTATCAACTTTTTTACCTTATTCTCTTCATTTTTTTTGCTTCTGATTTTCTGTCAGGAAAACCAGGAGGCAGAGATCAAGCAGTTGAGGAAGACAATGACGTTCAAAGCCACTCCAATGCCAAGTTTCTATAAGGAACCTCCTCCAAAAGTTGAATTGAAGAAGGTAACTAATCACATGCTCCCACAGCTGATAATGCATTTTGAAAGGAGTTCCTAAATTTTTTATGGTAATAGAAGCTGATTGTCATGGTAATGCAACAGCTGGTTCATGTTGCTGAAATGTTACTTATGCCAACTCTTTCTTCCTCAGTAATTCATTATAGGACTTTCTTTTTTGTGTTCTTTCTTAATATATATTCTGATGTATGTTTATCAATTAGATACCTACAACACGACCAATATCCCCAAAGCTTGGAAGGCACAAAGTATCTGCTGTGAACAATTCAGAAGATAAATCTTGTTCTAGCCCACAGGCAAAGCAACAGCAGAATGATTCAGCTAAGGCAAAGGTAAAGGGTTATAAAGATGTGATTTCAAAGAAACCAATCATAAAAACACAATCCAAGCTGCAGTCTCAAGAAAATGCAATCAGGAAAACTGAAAGGGATTCTGTAAGGTCTACCACAAGTAAGGCCTCAGGAAACAACCAAGATGCAAAAGCAGGTATCGGAAGCAATGAAGAATACCAAGATCCACCAGTTAACAATTCTGAACATCAAAATATAATGGAGCTAGAACCCGAAAATGATCTTGCTCAGAAAGGTGCACTGGTCTTAAATTCATCAACACCTGAGATTGTTTCATATGAGGTTGCTGTTGGAGTGTAGATTTGTATAGACAGAAAGTATTTATGTAAACTTAGGATCCTATGTTGCCGGTTATTTCATTACTGTTGTGAATATTGAGCTTGCTTCATGTTCATCATAAACATATATTGCAATTAAAGATAGGTTGCTTGTTATATTGAACTGTTGCCATTTGTAATGAATAGTGAGAGCCTTGTTAATTCACTATTTAGCAAACTGTTTGTGTTTTGCCCTCTGATTAAAGGAACACTAGATGTAGAAGACTGTTGCCCTTCGGAGCTTATCATCAAGGAAAGCATGCAAAAACCAAGATGATCTTCTTCCCAAGTTAATTGTAAGATAAGCGATAATCATTACATAAATGAAACTCTTGCTAGCTCATAACATAAGAATTGTCTTAACCTTTATAATTTTTACTTCAACCATTACATTTGTTTGATATAATTCACAAATTTAAGTTTAATTTTAATCTATGACAAACCTTCTTACCATCTTAAATTTGGATTAAGCCAAACTCATCGTTAAAATTAACTCAAAGTAGAGATTATCCAAACCTTGATATACTCTATTTGGGCCATATAATCAATTTGAGATCTCAATAGCAAGCCATGTTCAAGGCAAGCATTTCCACGCTTCAATTGCTATCGTTTTAATGCCGTACAAATAAAATGATGTCAATAGTCATCAAAGACTAGCCAATTATTTTTTTCCAAAAGCATATTGCTGAAATAAAAAATAAAATAAAAAACAGACATTCCATCAGCAAAGGAAGTTTGGAATTTGTTAGTTTTTCATATAGTTGTGAAGATATTTGTTCTCTATTTGCCAGCCTGACATGTATCAAAGAAGAAAATCAGAGACATTATCAGAACATTCTACAAACTGCAAGGCATAGAAAAATTCAAACTGCGCTTTAAGTCGAAGACAATATTTCAGAATATTATCCATTAGATATCAATTTTGCATTCATCACTTCCACTAGCTAGCACTAGAGCATATAGAAATCTGGTTATACTGTTGCTTGGGGCCCAGGTGTAATTGTCAATGCATCTTTTGTTTGATGTTTTATACAGATTTACCCAGCACTCCACTGCTTGAAAGGTAATTTTTCCAAAAAATGAAAAGAAAAAAAAATATTGCACTCATCATTAAAAAGGCCTGGAGATGATTGATGAAGTCCGAACATTTAGCCCATCATGACAGAAGTTACATGTTGTCATGCCCCACTTTGAGCAGAGAAATGAGGTGCTCGGCCAAGTGGTACTATGAGATCTTTCAAAACATCATACTCTTCCATGCCCAACTGGGAACCATTCAAAACCTGCTTCACCAATCAACACCAGAACAATGGTTAACATTTTTAAAAGTATAGTGAGAATTATAACATCAAAATCTGACATACGAGATAAAACTATAAAATGATAAGATATCATTAACCTCCCTATTCCAGCGAGAAAGCTAAATTTATGTGCAGTAGATTTCCCACCAACAAACACACACATAACAGTGATATCAATCACTAATAGCAGTATATCACAGTAAGCCAAAAAACCGCTATGCCTTATAGCAGATCATGTTGTGGTCATATAGGGTTTAGAACAGATTAGTTTTATACATATCTCCTATGAATAAATTGATTACATCCCCAACACACTCGTATGTACACATGCCATAAATTGTGCCCACGGCAATCCGTGTACACGGTTTGTGGTCTACCTGACCTCAACCTAAAATCAGCATAGCATTACAAGACAGACTGCTGACTGCTGTTAGAAGGAAAAACAGAATTTCAAGTCCACACCCAAGGTAGAACCACAATTGATGAACTGTCAAATCATAAAATGTGGCTATCAAGTTTAAGCTGTTGAAGGAGAACAAAATAAGCACAAGGTAGCTAAGCTATGAGGGATTTATATTATTAAGCTCCCATTGGAACCAATAAATAGGCAACAAAACATTTATAAAGGAAACACAGATGAAAGTAACCAAAATTCTTGCAAATGAAATTAGGGAGATATTAGATGTTAAATGAAGTACACCAATCATAATACAACAATAACCAAGCCTTATCCAACTAGATGAAATCAGATACATGAATCCCAGTGATTTTAGTCAAAAACCAAAATATCAGCATCATAATAAGGGATTGAATTTTTTTTGCCCAGACATTGAAACAATCCAACACCATTATTGTAGTGCTTCAAGCACATCAAACAGATTCATTCCATAGCAAGTATATAAATGAATCAGTTTGATATGAATAATGGGTCTCACCTTGTGAAACAAGGCCCTCCTATCCGTCATGTGTGCAATAAGAGCAGGTATTCTACAAACGGACAATGCATCAATGAACAAAAGAACAACCACGTGCCATTGTTTAGTTCTGAAAGATGGAAGTGCATCCACAAATGACATTGTCTCCAGCAAGGATGCCTACGAGAAAGAAAGTCATGAGAACTACTGTATAACCCATCCATACAGAAAGAAGTAATTGGATATATTAAAGACTTTAATTAATACAGATATGAAGATTATATCTTAAAACTATCTGCAACCATTCTTAAACCGTGAACTCAAATTTCTAAACAACAAAAAAACAGCAGCATAGTGCTCTACATGCTGGACCAGGGAAGGGTTGGACCCAAGATGTGGGGTGTATAGTCACTAGCCTTGCCTATGCAAAAGGCTGATTCCATGACTAGAAACCCTTGTGCCAAGACTTCTGACTTCCCTACTTTCACAAATTTTTAAACTGATCCTTAAAATTATATTTCATCTTCTCAGATAATAAGGAATAATTTAAAGCAGTTACTGCATTGCAGATACAAACTCAATGTAACATGGAGGAATCATTTGTATATGCTTCAAGCAATGACCATTCACTATTAGTTCATTTAGGTTCTTTGACCAATGCAACTTGTTATCTAGCAATGATTGCAGATTTTCCTTGAATTAAACCACATAAGGAATCTAATATTAGGAACTAAGCAGATGCATGAATCCAGTGGGGGTGAGCAGTGAGCAACCCCACCCCCCACCCCTTCCCAGGCAATTTCTTTTTTAAATTACATGTAGTAATTGGCTATCAGACTCATTATTTTAACTTCGATGTAATTTTTAATTTCAAGCAATTACAAATGCCTAAGCCTTCATATCTCTAGGATCCATCCTTATTCAAACAAAGGTTAGTATGCATGCTTAAACAAATGATTTTGCCTTCTCCACTGCTTAAAAATTAATTTTGAATTTTTATCAAAATTTGTTGATTTCTTATTTTGTGGGCATGACATTGTGCATGTTTGGTGAGGGCTCATGAACATAAGAGAGAGGACCCAACTAATATAGTAAAAATGAACTAGGCCATGCCTCTGAGATTATAATAAATCTGTAATGACCCAATGTTAGACAAACTGTAATACCAAATAGACTAGAACAAAACAGATAACCCTAAAATCTGAAAATCCTACCATCCCTTGCTCCAAAGTAGATATTGGTATTGGCAGCCTGAGCTCAGCAACAAGTGCAGGTAAGGTTCGAGCAAGACAACTGGCTAAAGTTTGTTTTATTTCAGATGATCGACCATCTGTCAAGACAATTTTGCAAGCATATTCTCTCCCATTAACTGATAAATATTCTTCATGAAAACTTTCATCCCTCCCATATATGTATGCTAAAGAAGATGATGTTATCCATTGAAAGAGGGCATTCCACATAGTTGCAAAAGGTGACAACTGAGAAAGTTACACAAAAGAAATAAATGAGGTATGTCATAGAGTATACCATGAAAACTAAATAACTAGAACAGCTTTGATTGTCTCAAACTTTTCACTAGACTTACAGTCAAACTAAAACCCTCTGGTGGAGCATCAAACCACGTGTCTTCAGATTCAAACAAATCAACATCAGAAATTCCAGGCTTTCTTGGCCATTTAAGAGTAACTGAATCTGTTTCTAGTAGATCAGCATCCTCCGTAGTACCTCCCTCAACAGCATCATGTGGACGTGGCAATATAATGATTCCAGCTTCAGAAACTGCACAAGATTCATTGATGGACGAAAAAACCTTTAGGAAACAATTAACATTTAAACAGAAACTTCATAAAAGAAACAGGAATTACCTGCGTCTGTGACATCTGAGTCTCCAGATGTAACTGCTTCTGATGCTTGGCTCAATGCAACTGCACAAGCTTCTGCTGACGCACAACGTAATATATCTTCATCATCAGCAACATTCATATTGCCTACTGAGTCAGGTTCTCCTATAATATCTCCAAATTCTTTAATCTGACAAAGATCTTTACTCCCAGAGCTGTTGATTTTCTCATCTGCCCAAGTAACAGAGCGTCTAAATTTCTTTCCACCAGTAGATTTCAGGGAAGATTTGGGTTTAATCTGGCATGATCCAGTTTCTTTTTCTACTTGGAATTTCTCTTCAACATTGGCAGGATCTAAATTGGAAGTGAAAGTATCATCACTAGCAGTAACTCTACTTGTTTCCCCTATATATTGTATTGATTTCCTAGCAGAATCATTTTGTTCTACATCACATTGTTTCTCTGATATGGAGACAGAAGGAACGTCTTTCTTTTTAACTGCACGATCAGGAGAGGATTTGGGCACAGCTTCACATGATTTGGCTACTTGATTCTCACTTTCAGAGGTACTTAACTTTAGAGCACTCTTAAAAGAGGAAGACAGATCCTGGATGCTGTCGTCATCTTTCCTGCCAACCTTTTCTGGCTGCTCAACTACGGCAATTTGTGTAATTTGATGATCAGAAGTTGTATCTGTTTGACCTGGTGAGACTTTTGAAACACTATACTCATTGTGCATAATTATAGAACTCATGAAGTCCATCTCATTGTTAACTAAATTATTGTCACCATTCAACTTGCTATGACTAGCTCTGGACCCTGTAACAACACGCAAACAAAGCTCACTGTGTTGGAAAGTGAAAACTGAAAACAGATAACAATCAGTAATAATACATTCCATTTCTCAGAAATTAGGTTCTCAACTTCAGAGTCATCATAATCACACATTGACCAAACTTGAAGGTGATAATAAATAAACAGGACTCTCTTGAGCAAGAAACAGCAAAAGGTTATCCAATCTAATTATCTAGGGTTTCTCACAATCACCTACAACGCCATAAAATTCTCACCTTTTTTAATATTTTTCTGAGAACCTTTAGAATCATGCCCTCTTTGTTTTGGCACATAACCCTCAATTGCATTTGAAGGTCCAATCCACTGCTCCAAAGACACCTCCCCAGTATTTGTCTCTGTTTTCTCCTGAATTTTCAAGTCAAACAAACCTAAATCTCCATCCTTTCCCAAATTCTGAACCGTATCGAGATTCAAATTCCCAAATAACCTAAGAACATTGTTCAGTTTCTTAGGGTCTAAAGCCAAACATCTCTCAGATTGAAAGGTCGCAGCAAAATTTTTGCTGTTAACAACACAAGCGGAAGAACAAAACTTGTATGTCTCTTGAAGGTTATAGATCTTGTGCTCCCTCATTGAAATCCGAAATCTAGCCTTGCGTGGGTATTCAGATGGCAAAGAATTGCGGCACAGTGGATAACCACACGTATTGGTGATGGATCGTTCGGTTACGACATCTTCATATTCACTCTTTGTCATCAAAGATCCTGCGGCAAACAACTGGTCTTCATTTTCGATGCCTTGAAGGAGTGATAGTTGCAGATTCAAAATAACATCTTTCACGAGAACCGTTTGTTCCTTTGCCATTGAACTGAAGCTTTGGAAGCAAATAGCTAGAACTGAATCATGTAAACAGAATACCACAATAAGTTGCTTCAACAGTTCAAACCCTCCAAAATTTAAACCCACACAACATAAAGGGAAAAGATCATTCAATTGATGATTAAGTATGAAAAAAACAGTTTCTAAGATCAATTTATTCCCTCGTAACCCTCATTAACAGGTGATTTCCAATACCTGGGTACAAATTAGACTTCTCAAATTCTATAATCAACAAATTCCCATTAGTTTATTCTAGGACTTTTTTTCGTCAACTGATATTTATTCTAGGTCTTATGGTCTTTTTCACCTTCTAGGTTTAACTTGGCTTGCTTGAAAGTCTAACCTGATCCAAAAAATTGTTTTAAGACTTATCAATAAACTAGTGGGCCTATCCCTAGGTCTTAATTTTAGAATTTATTAAAATAATTAATAATTTTGTAAATTAATTATTAGAAGTGCAAAAATTGAATTTTGAAATTAATTTTTAAAATTGTAGAATTTTAATTTTAAAAATTTATTTTTAGAAATACTTAATAATTTATAAAAGTGTAGAATCCTAATTTTAAAAACTTATCTTTTGAAATGATTAATAATTTTGAAATTTAATTTCTACAAGTAAAAAACTTAATTCTAAAAATTAATTTTCAAAAGTGTATAATCTTAATTTTAGAATTTATTTTTGAAACTTATTAATCATTTTAGAAATTAGTTTTTAAAAATATGCTTATCCTAATTCAGAAAACTTATTATAAAAAAATAATGACATTTATAGATTAAAAAAGGTTAGGGGTGGCAAAAGGTAAGATATAGGTAGGGTATTATAGTATTTATCTCTGTATTCATGTCTTAAAAAAATACACATATTCATACTCACGTGAATATGAACATTAATCTTTATACTTGCATCCTCTAAATATTTGCATACTCATTTTATACTCATTATTTGCATTTGATTAAAAAAACAATATTTATAAAAAATATATTTATATAACTTCGTATAACTAATATAATAATATAAAAATTTAATAAATAATTATTAAATAAAATATAAATAAAAAATAAATATTTAAATATAATATATACTAAATATATCTTAATATAATAAATTTTTAAAAATAACAAAATAAAATTAAACACATAAATTATAAATTATTTATCGAGGATTACGATTTGATCCATTCTTCTACAACACGTGATCTTCATCGGCTTCCTCAACCGTTTCGTCTTACGTGGCTTCCAGGTCAGATATTTACCACAAATGCTTAATCTGCTTCTTCGTTGATGTCATCATGCACCTGCATTTAAATTACTGTCACAGGACCAGAAGTCTTTTTTTTCTCTTTGAATAATTTCAAATATTTTGCTTTTCTAAGAGATTTAACATATTAGTATCTTTTTTATATTGTATAAGTACGATTAAATTAAAATAATTTTTTAAACAGTTAATTGAAAATATATTACATTATTATTATAAAATTCAAAAAATTATAATTATTAAATATTTTATTATATTAAAAAACTTAAGTAAAATAATAAATTTTAAATAAAAAATAAATTTAAGTTAAATTAAATTAAAACTTTTTATACATAAAATTAGTTTATTTTTTATTTAATAATTTAAATTTTAAAATTATAAGAAGCTATAATATTGCCCTCGTTTTGTACTATGTGAAGTGTGTAGTGGGATAAGTAATGTCTATCATGGGATGTATCTCTAAAGGATCACATGTCCATCATGACCAAAAGATTATAAAGTTATATTTTTTTACCATAATTCTATTTTATAGCACCTTCAAAATAATAGTCTAGAGAGTAATGATATTTATAATTTGCTCTTAGGGATGGAAATAAGTTAGGTTAAATCAGGCTTTACTCTAAATAGACTTGGCTTGTAACATAATTATTAAGTCTGAACCTAACTTGTTACTTGTTAAAAGCTTTATTTTAAGCCTGACCTGACCTGTTTAAATGGTCTAACTTGGCCTGAAGCCTGTTAACAAAGCCTGTTATAAAAAAATTATTAATAAAAATATAAATATTTTATTATCAAATTAGTTTAAATTTTTTTAAAATTTCTATCTATGTTATTAATAATTATTAAATAATTATAATAATATTTATATAATTTTATAAATAATTTTTAAAATATTATTTAAGTATTAATTATAAATATTTTATATTAATAAAATTTATATTTATATTTTTCTTGATTTATTTTTAAAAATTGTATAAATAGTAAATATTTTAGTTTTATTTTAGAAACATATATTATTTGTTTAAAGACATTTTATATTCAACAAATAAAGTTATAATAAACACGTAAAATTGATAAAAAAAAAATAACATTCACACAATTTGTTGAATCAATTAAAAGAAAATTATTATATTTTAAAAAATAAATAAATTTAAACATAATGCAATATATATATATATAATGACAATAATAATAACTATTAAATTAAAAAAATAATTACAAAATATTTAATTTTATTTGTTTCATTACTTTATTATTTTAAATTAACAAATAAACATAAAAATAACTATATTATAACATTAATGTAATATAGAAAATATTACTGATATAATAAATTAAAACATATACTTATATATTACATATAAATTGACAAATTAACTAATAATTTAATTAAAATACGTGTAAGTTATAAAAATATATATTATTATATACTTTATTTATAATTATATTATTATATGGTTTGATTATATATATATATACATATATATATATATATATTAATATATATTATAATAAATTTTTTATTTTATTTTCTTATCATTTTTTATAAATTTTTCTTTTCGAATAAAATATAATTTATATTTAAACAATTTCTATTTATTATAAATATAAAAAATTATAACATACTATATTAATATAATAATTAAATATTAATAATAATAAAATTAAAAATATAAAAAATTTATTAAAAAATATTAATATTTTATTTTTAAATTTTAATTTGTTTATTCTTTTTCAGCTTGCTTAAATATAACAAATATAATAATTTATGGTTAAATAAACTTAGTTTTTAAACACGTGTGTATAAATATTTTAGTTTCAAAATTAATATAATTTTTATTTATTATAAATAAAAAATTATAACATAATATATTAATATAAAAATTAAATATTAATACTAATAAAATTAAGAATATAAAAAATAAATTCATATAATATTATTATTTTATTTTTAAATATTAATTTATTTAATTTTGATTGCATTTTAATCTTATTCAAAAACTTTACTACTCTTCAGCTTGTTTAAACAAATATAATAATTTATCTTATATTTATATTTAAAGTAATTATAGATAATAATAAAATAAAAATAAAAAATAAGTGTGATAACAGTTTTGACTCAGAGATATCTGATTGTGCTAGGTTTGTAATTTGTTGTGATGTAGTTAAGACAATCAATGAAATTTTTTAAGAAAAGATTAAAAATAAAATAAAATTTGTATAATATTAAAAATTTATAATGATTATTGTTATTGAATAATATTAATAAAAATATAATTATTTTATTATCAAATTAGTTTACATATATTCAAATTTTTATTTGTGTTATTGATAATTATTAAATAATTATAATAATTTTTATACAATTTTATAAATAATTTTTAAAATATTATTAGAGCATTAATTATAAATATTTTCATATTATAAAATATTTTTTATTTTTATTTTTCTCAATTTAATTTTATAAAATTATTAAATTATTACATATTTTAATTATTTTTATGATGATTATATTTTGTTTGTATAAAGATATCTTATATTCAATACATAAAATCACAATAAACACATAAAATTGATAACAAAAAATAACACTTACAAAATTTATTGAATCAGCTAAAAAAATATTATATTTTAAAAAGTAAATAAATATCGTTATTATAAAAATTGTAGATAAAAAATATTTATATTATAAAATTTATAGACGCAGAAAAATAACATATGAGTATAGGAAGAATTATTAAAATTTATATTTAAATTAAAATAACTTATATTTCTAAATTTTTATCTTAATTAAAAAATATGTGATAAAACTTAATATAAAATAACAATAATAACTATCAAATTAAAAAAATAATTATAAAACATTAATTTTATTTATTTCATTAATTTATTATTTTAAATTAATAAATAAACGTAAAATTAACTACACTATAACATTAATGTAATATAGAAAATATTACTGATGCAATAAATTAAAATATATATTTATATATTACATATAAATTGATAAATTAACTAATAATTTAATTAAAACACGTACAAGTTACAAAAATATATATGATTTGCTACATGGTCTGATTATATATATATATATATATATATATATATATATTAATATATATTATAATAAGTTTTTTATTTTATTTTTTTATCATTTTTTTATAAATTTTTACTTTCAAATAAAATATAATTCAGATTTAAGTAATTTTTTTATATTATAAATAAAAAGAATTATAACGCAATATATTAATATAATAATTAAATTAATAATAATAAAATTAAGAGTATAAAAAATATGTTAATATAATTTTATTATTTTATTTTTAAATTTTATTTCGTTTAGTTTTGATTACGTCTTATTTCTGTTCAAAGATTTAACTATTCTTTAAATTGTTTAAATATAATAAATATAATAATTTGTTATTAAATAAATTTATTATTTAAAAAGTGTAATCATGTATAAATATTTTTAATTTTTAATAGAAAATAATTTTTGTTTATTATAATTATAAATAAATAAAATTATAATATAATATATTAATTTAATAATAACTGAATTAAGAATATAAAAAATATATTATTAAATAACTATTATTTAAATATATTTTGATACCTCTATTTTTAAATTATATATATATATATATATATATATATATATATATATATTTATACAGGTCAACCTGTCAGGCTTAAGAGGTATAAACAGCTCAAGCCTGACTTATTTACTTAAACAGACCTTAAAAAAAGCCTAAGTCTAATTTGTTTATTAAAAAGGTCAAATCAAGTCAGGCCTAAACTAAGCCAGGCCACATACCCCTGCCAAGCGGCCTGACCTGTTTTCATCCCTATTTGCTCTAGGAGTGTGAACATTTTCAAACAACAAGCTTGGAGCAATAGAAGAAAAAGCAAAATAATGGTAAAAATGAAAAATAAAATTCTAAAAGAGAAGAAATTTATTTTAAAATTTAAAATAAAAAATAATTTAATGATTAAAATTATTGTTCAAGGTATTTTAAGAAAAAGAGTTACATAAAAAATTAATAGGGTATAAAGAGATGCAAAAAGCAATGCCACGACTAAGTTATAAATAGACTAGAAGGCCTATTCTTATAAAGGTGCTCTAAATAGTCTAGGAGTTAATTTTTGTAGCTTGTTTTTTGGCTTATTTTTAAATATTATTTATCAAAATATTATTAATTAAAGTTTAATTACTAAAATAAGTTAATTCAACAATATTTTTTGTGTGCAGCAAAATTAAAATATGCAACATAATAAAAAATGGAATATATGTCACATTATGATATATGAAGCTTTAGAAACAACAAAATAATTGTGCCTCATTTTGAAGATGCCCCATAGGAGCATTAACAAGACACCCTTTCCTTTCTTGTTGTACCTAAATAAAAGAAGCATTCATTTAAGTATTGAATATTTTTTAATTCTTACTGATTAATTATAATTCTCTACCTATTTTATTTTTTAAACAAAAAAAAATGATAGAAATGGTGGCAGAGACTCTTCACAGCCTTTCACTGGCCACTTCATGTTTACTATGATACTTTTTTCTCATTGATGCTTTTGGGCAATGGATGACATATTTTTAGAATGTAATAACATTTTTTTACTTATTATATTAAATTTCATTTAAGCATTTTTTTTATATTAAATTATTTATCATTTAAAAAAATATGTATTATTTTTTAAATAATATTATTATTTATCAAGGGATAATTTTTGTCAACTAAAAACTAAAATAACTTTTAAATTAATAATTCTTTAACTACTACAAATGTTTTAATGGAAATATTTTTGTATAATTAATTTTATTATATTATAATAATTAATAAAATTAATGTTCTTAATATATGTTTATTGATACTACATGACATCTACTATAAAGCGTAAATTATATAAAAATAAATCAATTTTAAATGCAATTTTATTGATACTTTTTATGTTTATTAAACAAAATTAAAATTTAATTTGATAAAAAATCTACGTTTAATATTATTATAAATTATCAATGTAAAATATTAATTTTGACTGATAAATAATATTAGAATATCTAAACAGTTCTACTTTAATGAGTATATGTGATGCAGAAAGGCGCATGCGCTGTTGATGAATTTTATTTTTTTTAACAAAGATAGAGTAATATATAATCATATTTATCGATTTAGTATAAATTTTAATTTTTTTTAAAATAGTGTAAGTTGTATATGTTATGTACGAATAAACACAGTTTTTTCTAAATGATAGAAGCTATAATATATATATATATATATATATATATATATTATAATTAAAATTTTAATTTATTAAACATTTATAATTTGATTAATATAATAATTAATTAGATTAAATAAATTATTAAAAAAATTAAATAGGCTTTTACTTTTATTCAGTTGTAATTTTTTATTCCAAATGTATGAAAATCAATTCTTTTTATTTTAATAGAATAATCAAATATAGATTGAATTTTGTTTTCTCTAATCATGAAATAACTAAATATTCTTGTAAAATGGCCAAATTTTTTAAATTTATTTTTATTTATTATTATAATAGAGTAGCTATTCTTTTGTTAGAGTGGTATTAGATAACTTAAAAACGAGGGTCATTGCTTTACGCATAAAAAATTGACAACAAAGTTAATAAAGTAAAATTAGTTATTATTGAACAAGATAAATGTACATTAAAGTAGTTTATTTATAAATAATAATTGATATTATTATTAAGCATAAAAAAGTTATGGTCATGTTTTACAATGAGATTTTTTTCTAGTTTTGTTTAATTGAACTTTTCTTGCAACATTTATTTTGTATCATCACTAGTTTTTTGCCATTAGGTATTATGAAAGGGTCATACCTAGAATGCTTTTTCTCAGGATATATATGGTTGAGTGTGACAAATGGATCATTGCATATATTCAAATTAGGAAGTTATAATTTAGGTATGTTTCACAAATTCACGTTTAGTTGTGTTGATCATTTCACCCACGTTATGAAGCAAATTAAAATTTTACAGGTCTCTTGGTATGTTTTGTTACATTCTAAATTAGTATATGATATAATAAATTGACCCATAATTCTTTGGATATAATTTTTGAAGTTTTGTTTGTATTTAATATTAAGAAAGGAAGGAAAAAGAAAGAGAGTCAGTGATCACTAACCTTTATTTGAAAGTTAATTAAATATGAGAGGGAGGGTTAATGAATTTTTTTAAATCCCAAAAAATTCTCTTAACTTTATTTATGAAAAAATTTATAAAAAATAGAAATAGAAATTATTCTTTTTTAAAAAAAAAATTAAAGAGAGAAAATATTTAATTTTATATTTTTTGAAAAAGACAAAAAATATATATAAATAAAAAGTATAAAAAAGTAATAATGTTATGTACATATTAAACTATTTATTATCCTTCATTTTCAATATTAAACATTCAAATAAATAAGAGAAGAGTTTAACCTCTTGGAAGTCCTTTAAACTCTTTTCTTTCCTCTTTTTCTAATTTCTCAAATAAAGCCTAAAATTCTAATATAGAAAAACTTGAATTAGTATTAAAATTTTAAAGTTCCTCAAGTATAATTATTTTGCTATCAACAACATAGATAGAAAAACAAAATCATAAGCATAAACTTACTGATACGTTACTTAGTTTACTTTTAGTCTAGAAACTAAATCAAATACTGATTATTAAAATGGTTTTATTAATCTCAACCTTAAAGTTTAGTTTAATTTTTGATATATAGATTTTTTTATTAAAAAAATATACATTTACAATATTAAAGTTATAAAAATATAATACTTATTTTTTAAATAAAATTTTATTATTATTAATTATTTATCTTTGAACATTAAAATTCACAAAACCTTTATTTAAATAGTAGCTTTGTTTTCTCATAAAATTGATAGAATCAAAAGATTCAAACTAAAATGGTAGGTGTGAAATTGGATTCATAATAAATTTAGAATATGTTTATATATATATATACACACACCAAAAAGCTTAATGTTTAGTGAATCACTTGTGCAAAAGATTTTAAAAAATTAATTACAAATAATTCTTACAATTTTAGGAATTAATTTGGGAGTTTATTCTATACTTTTATATGGAATAATCCTTGTGTTTTTTGAGCGGTGAGTTTTTCTTTTTCAGAAAATAATTTCAAATTCCCATAATGGTCCTTTTGTTGTCCCAGAAATCATATGCATAAAGCATTTGAGTTATGAAAAACCAAGGGAACTTAACTAGATTTTGCTTTTAATTTTCAACAGTTAGATAACATATTCCCTTTAGGAGTGTTTAAAACCGTACCAAGCTCTTTTCAAACCGCTAAGCTAATTTAAAAAAATAAATAAAAATTAATCAAACCAAAAACCCAAAAAGCCAAATTTATATTACAATCCAGTTCAATTTTTAATTCTCATCTTAAAATCAAACCAAATCAAACTATATTCATAATAAGTTTATACTAATTTTTTTGTATTTTCGTATAAATTTTTCTTTTACTCAATTTTATCATAACATTGTATACATATATGAGTACATCACTCTTATTTGCTTTCTCATTTCTCTCAATAGAATATTTTTTATTTATCAATAATTTATTTATTTTTATAATTTTATCCTTTTTTCTCTATTTTTCATTTTTCAACAAACTCATTTCAATTTTTGGAACTACTATTTTCTCTAAATTTAAAAATAAATTAAAATTCATATAATAATGAATACAATTTTGAAAAATAAAATAATTTAACAATAAATAAAAATTGATTCTTACCGAACCATTATTTTGCGGTTTAGTTTGGTTTAGTTTTGAAATTACATTCAAACTAAACTGAGAACATCCCTAATTCCCTGGTGAAGTGAAGCAGCAACAACTCCAGTTGCCACCTTGAAGTATATCTATTTCCATTGACATAAAAAAGTAATTATAAGGACACATTATGGACACAAGTCTCATATAATTTCAGAACTCTTTCTCCTTTAGATTACATCTTAAATATTACTCCCTACTGTCCCTAGCATAATATATACATTCAAACAAAAGTTTTTAGCTTTAGGAACAGATGTCTCACATTCTAATTTTTATTGAAAATCAATTACCATGAGCATATATATATATATGTATGTATCTATTCCTCAGCATGTCATGTCTGAGCAAACAGTTAGCCTGAAAAAAAGAAACAATCAAACTTGAGACATGATATGTTTGCCTTATTAGCTAGCATGAAGTAAAAAGGTGCGGTTAATTAAAAACAACAGAATCAAAAAGCAAAAGCAATGCTGGTGATGCTTGATAGAACAGTTTGAAAAGGTGAATGGGTTGAAGTATAATAAAATAAACCCTCACTACTTTGTAGGGCAAAGAAAATCAGGGATTGGAATAATCTGTACATCTGATTACCATATCGTAAATAGAAAGGTTATTATAAATAAATACATTAGCAATTTATTTCTACACATAATAAAATCATACTTCAGTGTTAATTGCCGCTACTGTTCTGTTATGTTTGATTATTTGAAGGAAAAAGTTTGTGTTAAGATCAAAGATCAAATTTATCACCTATACCTAGTAATTAATAAGAGTCACTGGATTCATTGCTAAAACTAAGTTTACAATTGGGTGAAAACTCTATTGATTCTGTTCTCAGGCTCAAAGGTCTAAACTAATATCAAGGCTCACCTTCAAATATGATATGCTGAGGAAAGATGCATTCACAGAAGCAAAATATCGCTCATTTTGAATCTGAGCTAGCTGAATATGTAGCTGGAGTATTGTTGTCATGCAAAGAGTTCTTTCCGCGCGCTTCCACATTATTTTGGTTACTTGTCTCTGCAATAGAATGATTCACCAAATGGTCTGACAAAGAAGTACCTGCAGCTCTATTATTTTCCCTTGTTTCAAGGCGCTCCATAAATCGTGATACACTAGCAATTTTGGCATTCAATTCTCTCCTAACTTCTGAACCAAGTTCTGACATGGAAGAATTAGGAGAGAACAGCCTCTCCTTCCATCCCCTTGTGCCCTTTGAAATTGATTCTTTGTATCTGTCACAATGCAATTTAATACCAGATGAGTATGCTTGAAAACATGTAGAGTTTGTAGATGCATGCTTTCTAAGAAATCATACCTCATGGATACTGCATTAAGTCTAGAACGCAGAGAATCAGAGAATGATTGTTCTGATGGCTGTGCTCTATCTTGATTCACAGGTAAAGGAAGAGAGGTAGACCTTCTGCAAGCAAGTAAAATGTACAATGTATAACACTATAACTTCACATAGTCACAAACTAACAATGATCATAAGAAAATAAATATTAAGGTCTAACTACCAACTGGTGGATCTTCATAATAACAAAATAGCCACGGCTACCCCAAACTTCATCAGTTTTTTTATACACACACACACACACATACATACATATATATATATATATATATATATATATATAGTTATTAAAAGAATAAATAATTAAATTCATCTCTGATAAATTTAGTGTAAGACACATCAGTACCTGACCTGACAATATAAAAAACTCATGTTAGTTCTTGAAAATCATAAATATAGGTCATATTAGCTATTTTTATCAGGACGCATTAGTCCTTGAAAAGCTCCAATATAACTTACATTTGTAATTTTAAGATATTAAGATAAAACTTTTACATTTTGAAGGATTGATGCGTTCACCTCTAATTTTTTCAAGGATCAAATTGGGTGTAAAATCTTACTAAAAACTTTGCTTTCTTAGTATTATTTTGGAGTTAACCCCTTTTATGTTGAGGGAAAAAACTGTTTACAGGATTTTTGGCTTCTCCAAGATTATTATCGAAAGTCCACCACTGTAACTACCTATCATTAGAGAGAATTCCTTGAAGATTTGTTGCCCTGACAGTGGAGCCAGGAGTTAAAGAAGTCTGAGTTTGAAACTGTGGGATCTGATGTGGTGGTGATGGTTGATCATCTCCATCAAATGTAAGTGGGGTACATGGGGTTCCTACAGGAATTGCAGCTGATGGAGGTGCACTAGGCTGAGTAGGAAATACTAAGAAGTGCGGACGGCCGTGAGCAGATGGCCTAGTTCTTTGACCTTCCCTCCTACCAAGGTGGTGTGCTCTCCTCATTGCTGCGGCAGCAGCTAAATGTTGAAGTATTCGCTCTTCAATATCAGCCTCATTTACACCCATTGGTAACTGCAGAAGCAAGAAAATTTACTGGAATGTATAGATGGTAGAAATAAGATGTGCTTAAGAGTTAAGACACAGAACAATCAAATCAAAATACTCAAAGACAAGATGGATGACTGACATGCTGCAACTCGAAATTCCCAAGTGTCGGATGATGAAAAATTGCAGCATCTCTTGATGAGTTATCCCTCAAGCTCCTCTCCAGCTCTACTGCCTCAAGCAATTCTTGACTGCCAAGGAATGCATACAAGTTTTTTAAGACTATAATCGTTGTTAGATCCAATTGCAGGGTATAGGACTTGAGTCCCATGTTGAAGTATTAGATTCTAGTATGTGGTTCATATGGCCTTTTGCTCTTAACTACTACAGCTACTTTTTGTGGTCTGCTTCTCTCAAGGTTCTTCTCAATCATAAATGCAAAATCTCATACATACCTGGTAGCATCCTTCAAGCTGATAGGTTGCCAACACATAGGACATTGGGAGCTTCTCTGACACCTACAAACAATAACAAGTAACAATTGCTAAAGTGTAATGTTCCATTTTGAATCATATAAATAACTCAAAAGTGTTCTCAAATCCAACCATTAGCAGCCAAAAATGTTTATGAGCTCAGAAGCTTCTGATATAATAAGATTTATGGAAATAACATTCAACAGTGAACATGGCCTCTAGCCAGGCACAAAATCCAGATGACATACAAACACATTCTACTTTGTTTTCTTGTCACAGCTGTACAAAATTGGTGGTTAATGGTATTTATAGCACCTTATCTAAAATTACAGCAAAATTTTTGACAAAAACCCAACTATCCAACTCTACAGCTGACATCATATTGCATAGGAACTAGTGATATCCTTGCTACATAAATCCCTAACAAATTTACATCCCTGCATACCTAATCTAAGAATGTGTGTGAAAAGCAGTGCGAATATTGGAGGAATCCAATGTCCATAACCAGAACCAATTGCCTGAAAGTTAGACTACTCATTTGTTGTATCATGTTTGATTAAGAAAATATAAATGATACTTTCTTTACTAATTTTGTAAAACAGAATAATGAATTTTAAAAAATAGAATAGTGATTGATATCAAATAATTAAACCTTTTCAAAACTTTTAAATATATTTAGGAACAAAAGAAATGTTTAAATTTTAATTTGTTAGCAAAATAGAATCAATCCTAATTAAATTTCACAAATCTGAGATTGCATAAATTTTACATCATAATGCACAGCAGTAACTGCTGTTATAACATAAACGCAATCGTTATACCACCACATGACCTTAAACTAGAAAAATGGCCAATCCCTTTATTTTTTTCAGTTAAAACAACCAATACAGTCAAGTGCTAAGAACACTTGTCTTGATCAACATTGATGGGGTAATTTACCCCTTTTCCATGCCCAACTTTTGCCCCCTTCCCCCACCTTTAAGGAAAGGAATCAAGAAATAGCATACAATGCATTCCTACTACTCATTCTACCTTCTAATGACAAGTGGGAATTTGTTAATACATAAAGTTTGAAGAGATTTTAATATACAAGAACCGGTTTAACCAATGTAATACATAAAAGTTAAACTAAAAGTCAAAGTTTTGTGCAAGTTACACATGAAAAACATATATTAAAATGTACCATTCAAGAATGCACTGCAAGTGGAACTCATGGTTGCAATTAGTGACCTGAAAAGCAAGAGAGCGGAAAGAAGTAAACAAATGTTTTTCGAATGAAGCCATAGTTACTTATAATTCTACTTGTGAAAGGAAGAGAGGGAAGCACAAAAGTTGTGTATTACCGTTGCAGGATCACTTTTGCAAAAGTCCTCAAGGCAAATGCTGCAAGCATCATCACAGGCTTCTTGAATCCCCCCTTCTACAAAGGCTGCCGCTGATGTCATATGACTTTCACTCTTGCCTTCCATCTCTGGAACCTATTTCAGCGTTCAGAGTCAGATGCAATATTTTGCAAATGTAAGCGGTGCTCTAAGTGCATAATATTTTCAACAAACACAACAGGAAATTCATTTCAGAACCACTACCCAAACACTGTCTTGATAAGTAAATTTAAAATCCAGATTCTACCTGGAATTTACCTTATGAACCAGGTGAAGGTAGACAAGGAAATAATGCAATAACTTACTAGCTTAATTCTGCTTTGCCAAAATCCCAAACAGCACAAATGATAAAAACCTTACTACAAAAAGCTGCCAAAGAATTCTGTGGCACAGATATTTTTTAATAGAAAGTTAATAAAAAATGAAACAACAACACCCATTATCAACCCAAAAATAAATGCATTTTCCACCAGCGCTAAGAAACCTAACAAGCTTTATGAATTCTTCGTGAAAGGCTTCCCAGATTGAGCAAATAACTTCAAAACAATTATCTTCTTTTCCCCTCTCGCAACTATCTAAAACCTATCCATCTGAAATATATATGATCATGTTTTTTCCTTATAAAAGTAAAAGAAAATCATTCATATTGATAAACATCTATAATTACATCCAAAAACAAAAAGAGAATCATGAGTAATATCATCACAAAATTCAACATTTCAAAGCAAATGATCACATAAGGAGGCAATCACAATTACAACCAACCCCAGATAAAAAAGCAGTAACCTTTGCAATAGATATTGCGGTAAGGAATCCTAAAAATAAAAAAAATACAAAATTTGATCAAAACAGAACAAAAAAACCATGGGATTTTAATTTTTACCTCCATTGAGAATTGGTAAAGGTCCAGAAGAGAAAGGGGGGGGTTCAAGAAACAGAAAGAACCCCAATGAAGAGAAGATCAAGCCTTGAATTCAGAAAAAAAAAAACAGAATGGAAGAGATCCAACTCAGTGATGATGAAGAAAGATAAAGAATAAGGAAAAGAAAAGATGACAGTTACACTTTACCTTGTTGGATGTTTGGTGGGTTTCTTCTTTGTGCGTGTCCTGGAAAACAAACACAATGACCCCACACCGTATGAATAAAAGGCTCACTTTTCAGGCTTTCTCCGCCGTACAATAATAACACTTTGATGCTGTCACTTTTATGAGGTTGTTTTTATGGTTTTTCTGTCACTTCAATTTGTGAAATATTAGGGGGTTAAAATGATGTTATCTTAAAAGTGATTGCCTATGAATATATATTTATTTCTTAAATTCTAAGAGTTTAAACTGTTTAAATTAAATTCAATTAGATTAACTTACTTTAAAATATTAATTTATCATTTATCAGGTAAGAATCCAATCAATAACTTTTTTGTTCACATTTTATTCATATTATCTCTTCCATATTTAATTTTATTTTGTCGGGAGAAAATGTAAGGCGGGGTAAAATCTATTACAAGATATATTATTGAGATTCAGGTGTCCATTCCTTAAGTTGTAAGTAAATTACTGGAATTCAACGTGCTAATTAAGTCGATTACATTTATTTATTTTATTATTAAATAAGCTCAAATTTTAACTTTATTTTATTTTATGCACAGTCAACATGAATATATAATTTTATTCAACAGCTGAATTAATAAAATTTAGTATTTAAAAGGAAATATTAAATAAATAAATTATTATTAGATTTACTCATACATTAACTTGTTATCCTAAAAAAAATTATTAAGAAATTGTTATATTCAAATATTCTTTTAACTTTTTCTCTCTTCACAATTTAATCTCGTCTCAACATGAAAAATGACTAGTAAATTTTGTTTTAAGAAATTAAAAGATACTTCAAGAATATATTTAAGAAACAAAAGTAAAATAATTAAGATATCAAAGTATTAAATAAAGTTAAAGTTTTCCAATTTTTCAAAAGCTAAATCTAAAGATTAAATTTGACACAAATGAGTTAAACCTAAACATTATTATATTTTTATCCAGTCAAACTTGAGAAGTGTTCATCATGTCATGATTTGTTTAAGCCATAATTGCATATTGTCAAAGGTTTGAGCTTAGGGAACCTATAACTTGAGCAGGATTTTCATTGCTTTGCTAACATAAAATAAAAATAACTATGGGATTTGAAGATGCCTTATTGGTCCAACATTAAATTAAAAATAATAAAAAATATGACTCATATAATTTTTGTATTTTAAAAAATAATTAATAATTAAAAGTGTATTAAAAAAATATTACTTACGTATTTCTGTTTTGAGGAACTAACGTTGATTCTCAGTGACAAGAAAAATTAAAATTTATGGTATTCAAATTGTAATGTATGTGCAAAATATATGGACATGCATTACATTAAAATTAATTACATTATTCCATTTTATTAATTAATGACTAATGTGAAAAATATATGCATATCATAATGCATTGGAAACATTAAAATTTTAACAGTTTTTTCATTTTTCTTTCTATCCATAGTAATTAGATATAATTAAAAAATATATATGTTTGGCCTACTTTATAGTTTATATTTCCAAAGCGGTTGCTTTAAAGCATTTTTATTGGTGAAACTCTTAAAGGTTTTAAAATTTTATTTTATTAATTTTATGAAAGTCTTACAATAATACGTATATATTTTTTTACTATTTAAGCAATTCTCAACTTTAATCGTGCAATTCTTAAAAATTATATTAAATGAGTCTCTCTAAAATTTATTTTTATGTTTTTATACATTATTAGCATTTATTGTTGTTTTCAATTTTATTAATCAATTCTACAATTTTTATTTAAAGAATGGTAAGCAACTATACTTATTATGTTCTAATATATAATTCTTATAAATAACGAATTGTTTATTTTAAAAATCATTTAAATTTCTTACATTAAAAATATCTTAATTGAAACATCACTTGCTTTATGTGTTTTATAGGTAAAAAATTGAAAAAAAAATATTATTTTTATTTTGGTTTTGACTAAACTTTTATTTTGGTATGAGATAGATAGCATTAAGCTTTTTATTCTTTAAAATATTAAAAATATAATATTATTCATTAACTTCTATATCTGTTAAACATTTTAATTCTTAAACTTAGATATCATTAAAAGTGACATGTGTGATAAATGAGTTAATATATATTGCATTATTTTATAATATGAAGTAGTAGACATGACTAAACACTTCATAACTAGAACTTTCCTCTTTTCTCTTATGAAAAATTTTAATTTTTTCTTCAAATTTTAAGATCATATTTACAAATCATAATTTTGTTGGCACTAAAAAATTTTAAATTGAATTTTGTTGTAGTCATAAAAAGGAGAATCATGTGGAGGATTCAATATTATTCTTAATTTTGTTAGTCTTTTTTTTTTTAATAATTTGAATAATAGAACTCTAATTTTTTATACTCTAATTCTCCTTTATCAATGTTAATGTAGTTTTTAAAAAAATAATTTTTGTTGTTTTATGAAAAGAAAGTGATGATATCAATAAAAGTAGTCTCTCTATGTCAATTATGATGTTTTGTTTTGTAAAAAGAAAAGAATAGTGTGAACGAAGGTAGTTTCCCTTTTGCATTGTCCATTTTTTCATGTGCTTGAATTACTTCCTTTGTTTATTTATTTGTATACTTTGAAAATATTTATGTATTTTTAATTTAAATATTGTTTATTTATTTGCAAAATTTTAAAAAATTAAATAAATATATGACAGCTTAGTTGTCACCTATGTCACTTAATAAAAGGGTAGGAGCTAAGTAGGTATAAAAGAAAAAAAAAGGACTAAGTGAGATAGAAAAAGTAAGAGAAAGTTGTTTTAGTAAATTTTATATAATTTTTTTTTTTTTTACTTAAGAGAATAAAACTAGATATTGAGTTTCTGCTATAATAGAAGAAGACAGATCCAAAATATTAAAATTACTCGTTACACTGATATTTTATTTCTTCTTATAGATGAAGATAAATCTAAAATATTAAAATTACTCATTATACTTATATTTTATTTCCTTTTACAGTTTATCCAACCAACTAATCCAATTGTTTAATTCATAATTTTTTATATCATAATATCATTTATATAATTAAAAATTTTAATTTAATAATTAACTTTAGAATTAAATTATTTAATAAAAATTATTAAGTAATATTATTATAAATATAAATTTTATTAATATAATTTAATCTCTTAAACACATGAAAATATTTTAAAAAAAATTAATTTAGTTTTTTTATCTTTATATTTTAATTTATATGTGATTTTAATTTTTTATTTTTTATTGATTAGACTCTTTAATTTTAATAATTTGTATTAATTTTATTAATTTTTTAGTTGTTTAAATTAATAATTTTTACTTCAAAATAACATATAATAGTTCAAAATAAATAAATATATAATAAAGTTATAATATTTTATTAATTTGAATAAATTAGTAAAGAAAATTATTTAAAATATCTAAATAAAAATAATTAATAAATATATAAAATGTTATAAAAGAATTGTTTTATATGTTGTTTCTCTGTAAATCTAAATAATTAATAGTAAATTTTAATTAAAAATATATTATATTCAAGGTATAACAAATATTTTTTTAATAAAATTATACTACCATTAAAATAATGTTCAGCTTTTTGGTCATAGGCACCTGATTCGAAGATTGTTGAACTCATTTAAGTTGAGCGAACAGAAATTATAATTTATGTTTTAAAATATATTAAAAAATCTATAAACATAAAATTAATGTAAAAGAACATTAAAATTCATACTTTTAATATATAATAAACCAAAACCAAGAAACGAGTTGATTTAATATGTAGCTAAATGTAGAGTAGAATTGCCCCATTATTCTATTCCCCTGGACCTCCACCGAATAATTAAAGTGGAATTAGCAGAATAAAGGTTACATGAAAGTGGACCATAACCAGAAGATTCACAAAACGAGGGCCACACATACTATACTCTGTGTTTAAATTAATATTCACAATTTTGAGTTTAAATTAATTTAATTTTATAAAATTTATAATATATCATATTCACTTAAAGATGAATCTAATGATAAAATTAATTTTTAATTAAATTAAAACAGCATATGAGATCAATAATCAAAATATATTTATATATTTATTCAACATAAGTCTAAAAAAGCAAACGTGTTTCTTAATATATGGTGACTAAATTGTAAAACATATTTAAAAAAATATAGCAGGTTTGAATTTACATTTAAATGCTTATAGATTTATATTTATTTCAATGCTATTGGTTATAATTTTTTATTAAATTCATATCTAGAGGTCTTTTAACATGAAATTATTCTTTTTTTCTCTTTTAGTTAAAATAATAATAATTAAAAGTGAGAATAAAAATATTTATATCTGTTGATATTATATTTTAATCATAAAAAAAAATAATGAAAAGAACGATATGCATTATAAACATGATTTGTTACGAATTTTGTACAAATTTAAAATTAATGAACCAGATTTTTGGATGACCTTTCAATCAGAGAGAAAAAAAATAAAATAATACTTTTCATGTATTAACTTCTTTTCATAAGTTTTTGTGTTATAAACATTTTATACCAAATAGGATTTTCTAAAATTAATACAAATAAAAGGGACTTTAAGTACGCTATGCATACACACAAAATATGACTAAAGGAAGAGTAGACAACTATAAGTGGTTTTAGTATTATTTTTTAATTAAAATTAAATATAAAAAAAATTTATATAAATTTTTAAAAGAGAAAGAAAAGAATATAAAAAATGAATAAAATTAAAAGTAATATATTTTTTTAAGTTTTAATTAAGTTAAATAAGATAATTATTAAAAAATAAAAAATATAAGTTAATTTTAACTTCCAAGAGAAATTCATTTAACTTTTTACTTATTTTAATATTTATTAAGGAATTTATCTAAATTAAGTAAAAAAAATACATGACTAAGGACATTAAAAAAATTAAACTTTAGAGAATTAAAATGATATTTTAAAAGTTAGAAAGTTAAATTGAAAAAAAAAAGTTAGAATAACAAAATATAAGGTTTTATTTGGAAATTAATTTTAAGAGAAAAAGAAGGAATTAAAAAAATATTAATTTGATGGTAACTTTAGTTTGAGAAATTTTAGACATGAGAATGGAGATTTTATAAAAAAATTTAAACTTCGTATAAACTTATATTTTTAAGATCTTTCAATTTAGTAGGTCTTTTTTAACTTCTCTTCTCCCTCCTTTCACTTATTCCTCAAGTCCTTTCAATCTCTCTCCATCAAAACTTCTCAACTAAGCTTAAAAAAGATATGATTTTGCTCTGAAAAAATGAACATAGATAAGATGAGAAAGGATGAAGTCTTCTTTTGATGAGTACTTAGCAGAAAAGTGCAGGGTGTGGGAGATAACAGAGGGGACAAGGAGGAATGGAATAGCCTGATGAAATTTGGCTGAGTCTGAGATACGAATTGTTCACTGGCGAAACCATCACCATCATTCCAAATGTCTAATAGCTTAGACTATGAAATAATTTCCGAGTAGTGCCAAAGAAACAATGGATCAAGTGGCATTGCACATATGCCCCTTCTTTTGTTTTTCCCTTTTCAATTTGTGCGTTGAATTCTGTGCTTAGTTCGAAACTCACTGAAACAATGCTAGTGGTCACTATTAATGTTTTGGACCACTGTACTGGTATCTTACTGCCATTATGAAGCTGGATCATTCAATTAACTCTGCATGCTTCCCTCTTATAGCTCATAACAATCACTTGTATATGATTTTAAAATGTGAATTCTGCAATTATAAATTAAATTAATTATTAGAAACATTTGTTATGAAATTGCAGCTTCAATTGTAATGATGATTCCATATTTCGATTGTAGAAACTGTCAACCCTTATCATGTATATGGACCACAATCGCAATTGATGACGGTATGCCATTTACATATTTTGCCTTTATTCGTGGCATTATTTTTAGGATAATTCTATTGTACCAATCTATTTGGCTTTCTTCTCTCTCCTCGTGTGTGTGTATATATAATACTTATGCATCAAACTTTGTTTTCTGGAAAAGGAGTCTTTCAGTGTTTTAAGTATTTCTATCGTCCTATCAATTTAGCACTAATTAGTTTTACAAAATTATCATAATATATCAATAAATTACTTTAAGTATGACCCCAAAACGACCACGACTTTTATCCCAAGCAATTTTCATGCATCTAGAAAAGTCTTGAAATAACTTGACCCATTTTTATCCTCTATCTCATCTTAACGTAGAAAGTGTTATGAAAATATTGTCTTAAAATAACTTAACTCTTTTTCTCATAACATACGTCTAGCTATGTAGCATTAATCAAAGCACGATAACTGAAAAGAAAAGGCACTTGACCCTTGATGTACCTAGAAAAGTATTCAAACCCCACTATACCAATATCATAATATCCATAAGCCATTTCATATTTTCATACCGGCAAATCTCGCACATTCCTTACTGGACATATGCATATAGAAAAGAAGAATAAAAAATCAGTTTGAAAATACTCTTGATAAGAAGAATTTGCATGTGATAATTTTTTTAATGAAAATCACATAATTTAATACATTAAAAATCATAAAATAATATTAAGAGTCTATTTATAAGAAACATGGGATAAATTTAAAAAATATTAATTACTAAATTTCTTTTATACAATTTTTATTAATGTTATTAAATATACAGACTATTAATTACACCATTTAATATAATAGATATTTTTAAAATAAAATTTACATTTATAAAAATATAACTTATTTAATTAATTTACTTGATATAATGGTTTAGTCTTTTAATTTTTGATGAAAAGACCTTGATAAATTTTGAGGCAGTGACAAGCGAGACACATGAATAACACAAAATCCAAAATTTGCAACCTTCTTGTTACGTGAAGAAACCCTGCGGATTCCAAAAACTGATATATGTCCCACCCTGGTTTCCTTTACAACTTACAAGGTTGAATAAATGGATTAATTAAGCAGAAAGAACCTGAAGGTTGGGAAAAGAAACACTGCCTCCAATCCTCTGCGACAACAAAGAAGAGTTGTTACTACTGTTATTATCTCTCTGAGAAGGGCTTCTCCAAAATCCAGACCCATAAAACCTATCCCACATCTCCTTCTCCAATTCCATCACCTCCTTATCTTCTTTCACCACAGAACTTCGGCTCTTCAGAACCGCCACGTCTTCGTCGTCGTCGCTGCAAATCGGGTAAATTCGAACGCCCATGTCGTCGCAGAAACCGCAGGAGCACCGCCGCCGCGGCGGAAACAGTCCGTCCTTCAGGTGGCGCCGCCGCTTCCTCTTCAGCAATTTAACGCACAGGCTCGCTGGAAGCTTGCAGATCGCCAGGTACATGACGGTGGCCAGGCCGCACGGACAGCAGCAGCACACGGCGGCGGTGCCTCCCACCGCCTCGCCCAGGCGCGTGGTTGGGATACTCTTGCTCTGCTGCAGAAACGGTTGTCGCTTCTGCGACGACGTCGTTTGGAGGATAACTCTCCTCGACATTCTGTTGTAACTGTCTAACGGTTTTGTAACGGACTGAACAGAGACAGTTATGGTTTCACGCCCTAATAATATAAATGATTAAACATGTGGGATGTTTTTCTCTTCTGTCTTTCTTTCTTTAGGTTAATCTGAAGAAAGAAGGGAGAAAAACAAAATGGGTTTTATTTTCTTAGGTTGGTTTGGTGTTTGACTGCAAAATTAGGCACCAGTTATAGGAGAAAAGATAAAGGGGTTGCTCCCCCTCTCTCCCTCTGTCTTTGTTCCCTATGTGTTTAAGATCTTAAAGGAGGGAGGGGGTGGTGGGTTGGTGGTGTTGCTTAAATGTTCCCTATGATTGTGGGAAATGAGAAAGAGAAAAGGTGTCGATGGTAATTGGGTTATTTTGGGTTTGGGGTGAGTGGAATTTGGAGATAGGGATGATGTAAACAGGTGTTATTCTAGAAATAGAAATGCTTGAATTGAATTCAAAATCCACACGCAATAGCAGCTCTAATGCATTTCATTTTATGGCTTTGGAGAGGATAGCTTATATAGTCAAATTGACCAAGACACATACATTGGGGAGATGCCAGTGGCATACAACGTACAATTAGACTCCACTATGTACCTTACTGTATTTGCCGCGTTTAATTTTGACCACATCATGTGATGATGTAATATATATTGAATGTTGTGTAGGTCTGATTAGGACTAGATTAATAATTTAATAACAAGTTATTGTTAATTAATGTAAAAATAATTTCCGAAGTTGGGTCATTAATTCTTTAATAAATAATTTTAGAATACTTACTAAGCTATTCTCAACAATAAAAGTTGGAGGATCATGAACAGATTTGGGGCGGCCAATCGTCCCCCCAAAATAATTTATAAAAATTATATATGTATAAATTTTTATTTTTAATAATTTAATATTAAAATATCATTATCTTGAGAAAAACTATTATCATGTTATACGTAAAATCTTACTTTGATTTTACCACTATCTTTAACTGTAGAAAACGTATTAAAATATTATGTAATTTTAATCAGGTTAAAATTAACCCAAAAGGTGACCTACATATAACTCAAAACCACTTCTAATTTTGAGAATTTAAATTTATTTAAATCAAACTAGAGAGATGCCCAATATCGGACCCGATTAAATATTTAGCAGTTGTCAACGCCTTCAAATATTAAGAAACAGTTAAAATTTTCAACTAGTGTGTTTTTTATATTTAATATTGTTTTTAATTTTAGTGTATTTTTAGTTTGTTACATATTTAGATGTACTAAATAAATCTATTATTAGAAGTTTTTTACATATACAAAAATTTAAATCTAAGATTTTACTTAAATAATATTGAGTTACTTGCTATTAAGACCAACTTTTGTTGATTTATATTAATTATTTTGAAAATTAATAACAATTGTTATATAATAATAATCTATAAACAAATAATAGCGTAAAAAAATAGTGTTAATATATTTAAATTAAATTATTTAATATTTACAAAACAGTGAAATTACTTTTACACGTTTGGATATATAAGCAGTTGATCATCACTAGAGTATTATATGTTAAAAAGTCCACATCATATCATATATTATATTCCGTGGATGGAAAAGAGACCAAATTCGAATTCCATTTGGATTCAACTTTCCATAGATATATATGCCAACGAAAAGATTTTGGCAATAAAATTCTCTTTAAGTTTTACGTGTTTCAAAACACATGGTTGAGAATTCATAGATAAAATAATTAAAAGTATAAACTTCACATGCATAAATTAAAGTGTTATAAGATTTGTATAAGGGCAAGCTTCCTCAATGATATCCCAATCATAGAATCAAGGAACTGCATTTACAATGAAAGGTTCAACCCATCTTCCATCTCAATAATTTCAAGCTCTCATTATTTTTCACTCATAAATTAATATTTTCTTTTATGATTTTATAATTTTTAATAAATTGTATGTTAATATTTCTAATGTTCTATAATAGGTATTAAAGTAGAAAATACAAGTACTCCAACTTTATAAACAGGGGACTGATTATATGAAAAAATTACATATTATTATAAACATTGTGTATTAACACTAACAAATGTACTGATAAAGTGTTTATTAGTTTTTTTATTGGATAAAAACTTAATGTTCCATCGTATTATTAATATAAACATTGTTATAATATTTATATTAATATGATAATTTTGATTAAAGAAAAGGATCAAATATATTTATATTTTTATAAATTTATTGAAATTTCATCTAATATATTTTTATATTATTTTGACTTTCTTTGATTCATGTAACTGCGCTAGAAATTAGGAGAAACTTATATTATTGATAAAGATATAAGTTTTTAAAAGAAGAATAAAATTAGTATAAAAATAATAAAATTCTTCTCATAAATTAAAAATAATTTATCACTTTAAATTTTAGAGAAATTAAATGAGAAAGAGTTTATTAAATTTTTTTTAAAAATAAAAAATATAAATTATTTATAATTTATGAGAAAATTTTTATTATTTTTATATTAATTTTTTTTCTTATAAAAATTTCTAAAAATTTACCCAAATAGAGTCATATAATGTTAGGGTGAAGATTACTTATTCCAAAATAACTCTTAATTAATAACTTACTTTATTGATTATGGGCAACTTTTTTTTTTTATTTTAAGTATTAAATTGAATACTAAAATTAAGTAATCAAGAATAAAATTTCATATAATTTCAATAATAATGAAGTAATAATTATTTTTCTATTATATAAAATTTTATAGTTTTGATCTATTCAATAATATATAATATTTAATTTAAAAGTTGAATTAACAGACCTCATTGTCTATTATTATAAGACATTGAATGGAGTGAAATTATTAATACTTAGTATTCGAGAAGTGAATTTCCACCCATAATGGTATATTATTATATAAATTAAGAAAAACTGTATCAAATTTAAAAGAGAAAATGTATCAACCAAAAATTTATTGAACCATAAAATATGTAAATACAGTTTAGCCTAAATAAAAATTATAATATTAAAAATTAATTTAATGATTAATATTTTTCTTTATTAAAATGAGACTTGTTTTAGAAAAAGTTTGGATAAAAGTAGCAAGAGTTAGGTAAAATGTGACTCCTTTGTTATATATATATATATATATATATATAACAAAGATTCTTTCAATTGCCTCTTTCAATTGTCTTGTTAATTAGTTTTTGTAATTTTTTTATTAATATTTATATATAGGTATTAAAGAAGTTTTGTTAAAAGTTTTAACATTAATATTTTTTTTCTAGTCTAAGGTGAATTAAGAGAATCAAGTCTAAGAAGAGATTTTAAAAAAGGAGGGGTTTCATCAAACAAATCGAAGACAGCTCGATATTAACCCCAAATCTAACCAAATAGTTAGCACATTGATTGGTTTCATGAAGAACATGACTAAATTTAACAAACTTAATACTCTAAAGAAAAATCCCAATTTTCTAAAATATAGAAAATAAAGAATAATTCTTAAATTGAATGCTAGTAATTAAAGAGATGACCTCTTTACAATCACTGTCAATCCAAATAAAATGGATGTTTCGAGAAATGACTAGCTTGAGACCCCCAAACAATCTTCCAAAGTTCAATAGCAAGCGGAGAGCAAGGTGAAAGGGTATTGCAAAAGCCGCTATAAAGCCACAAGTGTGATCACGAATAAGGCCCCATAACTAGCAAAACCCCAATCATGCATAACAGATCCGTCTGTGTTCAACTTAAATTGCTTGTTCAGAGGAGGTTGCCATCTAATTGCGCCTTGAGGTTTCCCAAAGCAGCAGATTGCAGACTTCCCCTGCAACAAAGAGAAAGAAAATCAAAATCCTAGGTAATTTTGTGCAGTAATGCATCACTACTTAAAGTAGAGTTCTAAAATATTGTACAATTCCTGTTATGCCACAGATTATAAGTCACTATGCCAAACAAAATATCCCAAAAGGGCTGCAAAGGAAAATTGTTAGCAGACAAATTAAAAGAAAGCCAATTAGAAAGGCTTAGACTAAAGAAAGAAATCCACTTATTAGGGGAATCAATTTTGATAAAATCTGAGAAGCAAAATAGCAATCCTTTATGACATGAATTACCGATTCAGAGGCCTCATTACATCTAGTGCATAAGGAACAATTAGTCATTTTACAGTTAAATCTCTCAACATTGGTTAGAAGCCTTCCATAGACAACTTTTCACAAGAAAACAGAAATTCTAGGGGAGCCTCCTCCTTAATCTCATATTAATTTAAAAATTTGATTATTATCAAATATTTCACCAGTACAGCAAGAAATAAGGGAAGAAGCTGATCTAATAGAAAACAAGTCATTACTAGTTAATCTCCAGAAAACTTGATCTTGGGTATTAGAAAGTCTAGGCGAGTCAATTGCAGCAATCAAATCACAAATAGAAAAGAGGGAGGAATTGTTTAATTCTCCTCCAATCCCAACAACCATGTTAGGAGAAAAGAGCCATGACCTCTTCTAACTTAGCCTCATTAATGAGATGAAGGGCTAAATTAGATAATTGATGAATATTTTGAATCTAGCTATTCTTCCAAAACCTAGGGATTATACCATTACCCAGGATCCGAAACAATCCCAAACATTAAGCATACCTTTCCATAAAGGGAAAAATTTTGGTAACTTGTGGAGACAGGAGATTTTCCTAATGTAAATCTATATTTATGACAAATTACTTGAACCCATAAATCATTAGGGGAAGTTATGAGCCTCTAGCATAGTTTCATTCTAAAAGCTTTATTAACTAAGTGAATATCCCTAAAGCCTAGACCTCCCTCACACTTGCATTTACAAACAATCTTCCAACTAATTAAGTGGCGTTTATTCCCATTCAAAGAACTCCAAATGAAATTTTACAGATTGTATCAATTTCTTTGCACACTAATATAAGAATAGAAACAGCTTGCATAATATCATTAAGAATATTCATGAGGCAAGATTGGGTGAGGGTAATTCTTCCTGCCATGGA